CAAGTCCTCTTCCAGGTTCACCACTAGCAGAATTCTGTTGTACATGATTGGAGAACTGAAGCCCTAAGCACTTAGAGGTAGTTTCCTGACACATGAAATTATGCTTCAAAGCCCAGCAAAGGACATCTCTCCAATGTACAACTTCCCTTCAGGGAAAGTCTAAACCCTCTTAAAAGGGCTTACCTAATTAGGTCAGGCCACCTAAGTTAAAGTCCTATTGATTAATTCAGTCAACTGACTGGGGACCTTAACTGCACCTACAGAATCCCTCATGTAATATAGACAAACATTGTTATTTCCACAATCACAAGACCTTCCCCGCACTTAAGAGCCAAGATAGGATGTGTACACTGAGGGTGGGAATCTCGGGGGTCACTCTAGAATTCTGCCTGCCAAAACTACATTGATTCTGTAGACCATTTTGAGAACTGACATCTTTAATGTACATTTATTTCAAAATCTTGAAATTCCTTTTGACAATGTAACTTTAGGTACAGGAGTCTTTCATTAAATTTATTCACAAGGACTTTGATATGGAATTTTTTATTTTCCATTGGTATGGAAAAATGCAGTGGATTTTTGTATCCTGACCTTGCATCTTGCAGCCTGCCTCCTACCCTAGTACTAGGGATTGAACCTGGGGCCCTCTACCACTGTACCCCAGCCCTTTTATTTGGAAACAAGGTCTTACCTAAATTGGCCAGGCTGGCCTTGATTTAGCAATACCCCTGCATTAGCCTCCCAAATAGTGTGATTACAGGCATGTGTGCCACCATGCCCAGCTTTTTCTAAATTTATGTTTTATGTCATAGTGTATAGTCCTTCAGATTGTCTATGTAAATAAGCATGTCAACAGACAAAAAAAATTTTCTTCCTTTCTAATATTTATGACTTTTATTTCTCTCTCTTCCCATATTGCATTAGCTAGGATCTCTAGTACAATGTTGTATGAAAGTAGTAAAATCAACATCTTTGTCTTATTGCGGGTATTGGGAGAAAGCCTTCAGTATTTCACCATTGTGATTAGTTGTAAGGTTTTTAAGAGAGGCCTTCTATGGGGCTGGGGTCGTAGCTCAGTGGTAAAGCATTTGCCTAGCATGTGTGAGGCACTGGGTTCAATTCTCAGCACTACATATAAATAAATAAAAAATAAAGGTCCATTGACAACTGAAAAAAAAATTTTAAAGAGAGGTCTTCTATCTTAATTTAAAAAGTTTCCTTTTATTCCTAGTTGGCTGTTTTGAATTTTGTCAAATGAATTTTCTGTATTAACTAAGATGATAAGTTTATCCCCCTTTATTCCATTAATATAAATTATATTGATTTTGAGTGTTAAAATCAACTTTTACTTAGGGGATAATATTCACTTGATCATGATATATTTCCCTTTTTATGTACTTCTGGATTATTTTGCTTATACTGAGAATATTGTGTCTAAGTTTATGAAGGATACTGGTCTGTAATTTTTTGTTCTAATTTCTTTTTCAAGTGTTATGTTGAATTCAGGTATACTGTTTCATTATTTTTGTCTTGCCTTCTATTCACATAATCCAATTTTTTTTTTTTTTTTAAGTATTTCACTTGATTCCTCTGTTGACCTTTTTATCTATATACCTTTGCAAAACTTGTTACTTGGTCAGTAGCCTATGTCACAAATATACATATATAGAGAGAGATACATACACACTTATAAACCTCATGATATTATTTTCCTTTATCATATCTTAGAAATTACAAGAAAAAGTATGGATATAACCTTATACTTGCCGACCTATTTTCCACTTCCATGATATTCTTGCATTTCTGAATCTAGATTTCCACACGGTATTATTTGCTTTCAGCCTAAAGAATTTCCTATAGCACTTCTTTCAAGTTCAGGTTTGTTAGTGATTATTTCTCGGTCTTTACTTTCCTTCAATTTTGAAGGATATTTTCACTTGATAAGGAATTCTGGTTTGGGGGGTTTTGTTGTTGTTTATTTCTTACAGTACTTAAAAGATACTTGTCCATCGTTGTTCCCTATGTATACCATTTTCCTCTGTGGCTGCATTCAATACCTTCTCTGTTTTTAGAATTTGACTATTTGACTAGGTGTGTTGTTTTTTTTTAATTTTTTTAGTTGTAGTTGAACACAATATCTTTTTTTTAATACCTTTATTTTATCTGTTTACTTTTATGTGGTGCCAAGGATCAAACCCAGTGCCTCACGCATGCTAAGTGAGTGCTCCACCACTGAGCCACAACCCCAGCCCAGTGTGTTTGTTTTTATTCACCTTGAGATTTTCTAGGCTTCTTGGATCTGTTATGTTTATTTTTTCATCAATTTGGAAATCCTGGGCCATTATTTCTTCAAATAGTTTTTCTATCCCTTTCTATCTTTTTTTTCTAGGACTCCACTTGTACCTGTATTTGACTACCTTATCAATTTGTTTCGATCTATATCCAAGTTCACTGACTGTATTGGTAAAAGCACTTCAAATTTTGTACTTTCAGTTCTAGATTGTTCTTAGTTTCCATTTTTATGAACTCCCACACCTGTCATTCCTTATGATAAATGCCTTTGAACATATAAAATAACTGTTTTAAAGTCTGTTATTTCAACATCTGTATAACCTCAGGATTGTCTTCTATTTTCTTCTAGTTACCTGTCACATGTTGTGTTTTTCTCACCATTCAGTAATACTGTATGTTGGACATTACAGATATTTTTTAGAACTCTGTGATTCTTTATTTGCTCTTAGAAAATGATGATTATTATTCTAACCAGCAGTTAAATTCAAATTCCAAACTCCGTCCAGCAGCTAAACTCTCCACTTAATTATTTCAGATCTTGAGCTATTGCTTTTCACTAGCTTTTTGAGAACCTATTTTAAACCTATAAAACTTAAGGATTTGTGTAGAGTTTACAGATTTTGAGGCAACCCCATTTTTTGAATATGACCCTCAGATTCCAGTAGCTCTGGCATCCACAGAATCTATTCTCTGACTCCAAGCTAATTTGTACTAGCCATTCCATGCCTTGTGTACTTACCCTCAGGTGAAAAGCCATGCAAATATGATACTTAGCCAGCAGCATTCAAGAGTTGACCTTTCCAAGTTCTGCCTGTTTCTGGTGGTTCTCCAGGGCCTTTGAATAGTTGTTTATTATATTTTGTCTCAGGTTTATAATTGTTACCAACAGGACGGCTGATTTACATCTCTCATACTTCTGTTTTTAATAAACCTCCACAGAATCTCTCCAAACACTGTCCCTACATTAAAACTGAATATACTTTATAAAAACTTTTGAGTCCTTAAACCATGCTAAGTCACAGCTCCTGGCAGTGAGTGTCTTCAGTGAGTTATGATCATGCACTGTCTTTTTAAAATGTCACTGTTGTCTTTTAAACAATGAATATTGGTTGAAGCCATTGTTCACTGGTTCCTTTAGATAAGCAATCTTTAACTGTTTAATTTCAGGAAGAAAAGAACAGTATATATGTTCTCTGTAGTTTGCTGAGGATTCACTCTGTATTTTCTCATTCTTCCCAGTATGGCTGTCATCAGCATCATTCTCAATTTACAATAAAGGCTTAGAAGCTTGCCACACATTAGTCAGTCACAAGGCCAGCATTGAAACTCAATACTGATTATAGACTGGAAATTTCTAGCTTGAATGTAGTGTTCTTGTTCCATAGTTCAGAAATAAGCAGAATGTGGCTTGATTATTAAATGCTAGTAATTACCTGAAACCCTTCTGAAGGCATGTGTTTGTCTTTTCTAGATACAGTGTTCCTGAGAAGATAGTAATTTTTCCACAGGAGACTGTTTCCACCCCAATGGACTTAAGAGATGATTCTTCATAGATACACAAAAAAGAAACAGAGGTGACCTCTCCAGGTCAGCACTTGGCAAAAGTGACATATAATAGTGTTGTTTATTATACTTTGTATATTTCCTCTTCAAAGTTTACATTTTAATAGTAACCTATAACGTAATTGTAAATACTTAGTTTTTGATTACTTTTATATTTTGAATATCTCCTTTAAAATAAAATTATTGACTAGATATTTGTACTGTTTTCTTGGAGTTAAAGACAGAAAAAGAGATGATGAAGGTAGCTTTCAAGCACATTGTGAAGTTTCGATAGTACATATATATTAAGTGTAAAAAATCTTGAAATATGTTCATACAAATCAAGGCTTTTAGCAGAATCAGTCCCAGAATCAAAACAGTAAAATTTTTGTCATTCTGCACACTACGGAATTTGTCACAAATTGTTTGACTTCTCCTAAAAACACCCATTACTTGGAATCTTTCCCAAGGCGGTGTGACAGTTCCTTCCTCGTATCATGTACACCACACAAATAGGCTGCAAGGGACCATACTTTTCCTGCAACTTCAGTATATGCTTCCTTGCCATCCTAGCCAATGTCACCAAAGTCTAAACAGCTAACAGAAATGAGTCACCTCTGAATAAATCACACAGTTTTACATTTATGGCACTCCTAAGCTGAGGCGAGGGCCCACAGGGCCAATAATGTTTTATAGCATCTAAGCAGCCTGCCTGTATGATGCTTCCAGCTTTATCACCTGTCCTTCCCTCCTAATGGCCAGCAGGACAAGCCAGAGGCCTTTGGCCAAAGTGATTCAATACAATTTACTAACATAAAACCCACACATAATCCCCCACTTATGAGGACAGCAAAGAAGGTTTAGACCTATACTGTCATCCTCATATATTAAATAGCACATTGATAATTTCTAAAATAGATGTTCTTGTACACATGTTTAGAACATTCATAATGAACAGTAAAGTACACTATTTGTTCTGGCTCCAAAGGGGCCCTTTCCAGAGTGTACAAAATAACTGGGCAGACATGACTTGCTATTCAAAAAGAATAGAAGTGCAAGAAGAATATGCATGAGAAGACCATCTTCACCCTACTAGAGAAATAACTTTCACTGAAACTGAAAAGTTTCAAGTCTGGCTTTAACAAAGAAGAGCATGGCTCAGTGGGTAAAGGCTTAAGGCAAAATTTTATTTTCATAATGAATTAATCTCCATGAAAGATACTTCAAAAGTCTCCAGAACTTTGTCCAATCTCCCAAACAAGATTATCAGTCCTTGAAGGCAAGTTACCACTATCCTTATTTTATATTCCTTTTAGCATATACCTCACAGAGGCAGCACACACCTCTGAGCATTTCTGACAAGATCAAAAAAATAGCTAGAAAACTAAATTCCAGGTTAGATCCATAACCTTCAGAGCCACTGGCAAGCATATCTCTAGGTACAGCCTGAAGTTCCAACAGATCCATCACAGGACAGAACCCCATCTACAGCCAAAGTAAGCCTAAGAAACCCTGCCTGAGCCCTACTGGTTTGAACCTAATGAGATGCACAAGGGCGGGCACGCCTGGCAATCCTATGGCCCTACCCTCTACTAGCAACAAAGAGGGCCTCTCCATGAGAGAGGTGCATGACTGTGGTCAGCACTGGAGGGAGGGAAGCTGGAAATTCCAGCTCTGGCTCTTCAACTGCCAGTCATGTTTCACACAACTGGTTAGTACGGAATATAATGAGCCTTTAATCCACTCATTTGCAAACTAATAAGGAAAGTAATACACCAACATACTATTTTGCTGTACAAGATGACAATCTTGAGAAAAATTTGTACATGTATCATGTGGAACATTTTTATTCCTAATTTATACTCTGTAAGATGCTTGACAATGTACAAAGAATACCCAGTTCTAGGTGGTGAATGTTTTGTATTGATTTATTTACAAAATTTCACCACATAATAAGAACTACCTTTAAAAAAAATCAGCATTGGTCCTATAAAGGCCATTAGGATAAATTCTTAAACCTACAAAAGACACCTTCGTACCCCTGCTCTCAGATTTATCATTGTTAATGAAAATCTGGCACGAAAGCCCACATGCAGTTTCTGGTTCTAATTATACACAGTCATCTGAAGTACAACAATCTAATTAGATTGGCAGGGGACAGTGGAGCACCCACATAGTCCTACAGACCTCTATGAGAGGTGTGCACGAGCCTACCGGTTACATCCCAGCTGTGCTGCCTTTGGAATGGGACCACCATGTCATCCCATTATGCTAAACATGGCTCCCCTGGAAAAAACGAGGCTTACTCTAGACCAGCTGGACTGGTCAGGAGGGTAGATAAAAAGTGGCTGTTGGTGAAAAAATGGTTTCATTTCTTCAAACTTTTTCCTTTTCCTTTTTTGGACTCCTTATCTTTTTCTGGTTTTGAAGGCTTTGGAGATTTTGTCTTTTTCTGTTGGAGGGAAAAGATGCACAAAATAGTTAGTAGCTGTGTTCATGAGTAAATGAAACAAGCTTCTCTCTACAATAAATCTCATCTTTATCTGCAGCTGAATTTAAAAAGAAGAGAGGCTGCAAACATCTAGATCTTGAACTACTGCTGCCTCTGATGAGCTTGCCTCTAAGCAACAACTAGGCTAGTTAAACTTTTCAAAGACAGCAGTAAAAACTGAAGCTATCCATCTAAAACTAAGATACATTCCCCATGGAAAGCAAAATAAGCAAAAGTTAATTTACAGATAAGTTTTTTTGTTAGTTTTTTGTTTTTGGTACCAGAGATTTGAACCCAGAGGCACTTAACCACTGAGCCACATCCCCAGCCTTTTTTTTTTCCTTGTGAAAGCACCTCACTAAGTTGCTGAGGCTGGCTTTGAACTTATAAACCTCCTGCCTCGCCTCCCAGGTCACTGGGATTACAGGCATGCACCACCATACCAGCCAAATACGGTAACGCTTATATGAAGAATTTCCTTTTTAGTTTCAGACTTGAGATCTAAACACACTCATTTTGTAAAGGCGGAAGAGGAGAAAGGAAGACTACATCTTATGTCTAAATAAGGCAGAACAAGATCCATGGAAAAGATCACTATTCCTACTTTGCATATACAACACAAAAATAAGAGGCAAGGAGCATACACACACCAAAGGACAGAGGAGGACACAGACTAGATTCCTTTGCCTTGGTCAGCTGTCAATACTGAGCTGATACCATGACTAATTGTACTCTTTGCTAGCCAATGACAAGGAAAGATCAAGTTAGCTCTGAGAAAGTTCTACAGGCAATTCAATGACTACAGCAAAACACATAACAGAAGGGCAAAATGCGTTTGTTAAAAATGTGTTTCCATCTGCGGCAAAAATGTGTGTGTACAGATAAGAAAGCATATACCAATGGCCAAATACATAAAAATCCAACTTTTCCTTAGAAAATATATGACCATCCATATAAATGGCCTATTTTCTTAGCATTTGGCTCTTCCACTATGACAAGGAGCTATTTATAAAAATAAAATCTATCCCTTCACCACTCTAAGCCACAACAAACAAAACATTGGAAGCATTTTCAGCTTACTCTGCCACTTGCTATAGGCTCTATTATTTACAAGGCAAGTGACACAAAGAAAAGAACATCTTTTTTGAAGTTCTCCCATCTGTTACTCAAATACTACCTTGATCATAGCGTCAGTCTCTATAGCATCTTGGTCTTTCTCCTCAGACTGAGAGTCATCTTCATGTAATTCTTCATTGTATTCAGAATCTAGTGCTGAGCTCGTGCTGGGTCTAGATGTCTTTATTACCTGAAGTGAATATGGGGTGAGGTGGGCTTCCTTATTGTAAGCTCTTGTGAAAGCTGCTTTCACCTGCATAAAAGGAGCAGAGGGAGACTATTAAAAATCTAATTGCCAAACAATTCCTTAAACTCCATAAGCCTAAATGCTTGCAGAGGTATTGGAAGCCCCTGGAAATTATCGGCAAAATATTCATGTGAGTGTGTAGATGGAAATATATGTATTTTTCCATGAAGACGGTCCACATTTTTCATGACATTCTTAATAGAGCCCTAATCAGTATCGGGAACTTTAGGCAAAAAATTACTTTAAGTCATATTTGAACTATTGAACACTCTCCACATTTCTACTAAGTATCAAGCAAAGTTAGTCTATGAATCAGTAAATCAAAAAAGGCTCATTGTAAGGTTCAAGTTGGCCTTTACTACAAAACACTGAAGTTTCCTTCAGCAGAATACTACAAATACTGGTAACTTAAAAAGCCTTAACTTCAAGCTTCTAAACAATTCCAGAATAAATCCATGAATTTAGTAATAATTGGATCAAAATTCTAGAGAAAACAAACCACAGAGTGTGTGTTTTCTAAAACAGCATCAAATAAACAAGAGAGAGAACTAGATATTACATATTCATGTTATATCACTTGAGCTTTTTCATCCTCCTGATACAAAAAAAAAGAGCTAGGGATATGGTTCAGTGGTTAAAGTGCCCCTGGGTTCACTCCCCAGTACCAAAAAAAAAGAAAAGAAGGGGCTATGTTTATACATAGCAGACTATCCAACCAGAATAAATACAGAATCCACAAATTAGGGAGACTAAGAAAAAGGAAAAATTATTCAATCCTCAACCAGGAAACCCACCTTCTTTTTATTTTGGGGTACTAGGGACTGAACCCAGGGATACTCTACTACTGAGCCACATCCCCGGTCCTTTTTATTTTGAGACAGGATATTCATAAATTGCATAGGGCCTCGCTAAGTTGCTGAGCCTGGCTTTGAACTTGCTTCTGCCTCAGCCTCCTGAGTCGCTGGGATTACTGGTGTGCACCACTGCACCTGGCCACTCTTCTTTTTATGACCCGTTACTACCACCTCACTTTTACTTCTTCCCTCCACTCTTATTAGGAGTATGTTCATGTTTGCTCCTCAGATTTGACTTTTTTTCTGTTCAGCATGAAGCTAAGATAAAAATACAAATTGCAAAGTTAAATCCAAAAGTCTTTTTCTAACTATGGTAAACAAATACTATCTTTAGAAAGCATAGGCCATAAAAGAGAATAAATTTTAAGAGAATATACAGTAAGTCTTTTAAAAAGCACTAAAAACACCACTGAAGTACTTCTAGGACAAACCTGGTCATCACAAAGTGATGAAGAACCAGGAGGTTGTATGATTTACCTTGGGGTCCAGCTTGGAAAAGGGACTAGGTTTGCCACCCCAGCTGCTAATTTCCATGATATTCTCAAAGTCTTCTTTCATCAGATAATATGTGTCCATAAGTGCAACAACATCCTGTATTCCTTCCACCCCTTGTGAAGTCAAGGGTTGTACAAGTGCATCTCTTATGTGTGACAGATAATCCATGTTCACAGTCCTTTTGCTAGAGTAAGTTCTAAAACCAAATAAAAGACACAATTGTGGTTGATGGCAAACTATCACCAATTCAAGTCATATTGTGCATATCAAAAGAGGCAATCAGGTGGAGCTTCATCCAAGTTTACTACTGTCTGGGGGAATGCCTACTATTTATTTAACAACTGGCAGGAAAGGCCCAGGGCTCCACACCAGGGAAATGGACATATATCACTGTGCTCAAAGGCAGTTTCTCCTCACTTGGAGCAGTGACTACAAACCAAACATACGTTCTATTTCTATCCTACTCTTAAGATCCAGGAAACAACACTGTTTTTCTGTGCACATATTTATTATAGCCACAGAGATTACTCATTCAACTTCCAAAATACTAAAAGTATCAGTAAAAGGTGGTGAGATCTGAGATTCTATCTCACTCTAGTCAGATGACAATTATTAAGAATACAACTAAAAATAAATGTTGGCAAGAATGTAGGGAAAAGAGGTACACTCATACATTGCTGGTGGGACTGCAAATTGGTCAACCACTTTGGAAAGCAGTCTGGAGATTCCTCAGAAAACTTGGAATGGAACCACCATTTGACCCAGTTACCCCATTCCTCAGTATATAACCAAAGGACAAAATATATTACACAAAGGACAAAATTAGCATACTACAGTGGCATAGCCACATCAATGTTTATAGCAGCTCAATTCACAATAGCTAAGCTATGGAACCAACCCAGATGTCCTTCAACAGATGGATAAAGAAAATGTGGTATATATACACGATGGAATATTACTCAGCCATAAAAAAAGAATGACTTATTATGACTTTTGCAAGTAAATGGATGATCTGGAGATTATCATGCTAAGTGAAACAAGCCAATCCCAAAAAACAAAGGCAGAGAGAGTTGGGGTTGTGGCTCAGTGGTAGAGCGCATGCCTAGCACGTGTGAGGCACTGAGTTTGACCTCAGCACCACACATAAATAAATAAAGGTCCATCACCTACTAATAAAATAAAAAACAAAGGCCAAATGTTCTCTGATATGCATGTGCTAACTTACAATAAGAAGGGGGAGGAAGAACAGAAGTTTAGTGGATTAGACAAAGGGGAATGAAAGGAAGGGAGAGGAGATGAGAATAGGAAAGACAATAGGGTGAATCATAAATAACTTTCCTATGTTCATATGTGAACCACATATATACTCCATGTATGTATATATCAAAATACATTTTACTGTTATGTGTATCACTTCCTCAGAGCCACTTTCCACATGAGGGTGCCTAACACCTTCTGTTCTGATTATTGCATTTGAAATGATACATGAATGCCTCCTTTACACACTCTGAAATCTTCAGTTCTACAGCGGTATTTCTGAGATTTTCCCCAAACCTCAGAAAACTGAAGAGAATATCCTGCAGAATCCAAAAGTTATCCACACCCTCCAGTGAAAGATAAGGAATCAATTCTGATTTGCTGAGAACTGGGATATCATCAGGAAATGACTTTTCCTTTTTCTCTCAAATGCTGTCACTTTTTTTTTTCAGTTGTAGATGGACACACTATTAATACCTTTATTTATTTATTTTTATGTGGTGCTGAGGTGAGGCAAGCGCTCTATGACTGAGCTACAACCCCAGACCTGCTTCATTACTTTAAAACAGAAAATACATGAACAAAACAGTATTTCAAATGTCACCATCTTAAATCCTTTCAACTTAGATGCCTCTGTATGCGTTCTTTGAACAAAAGCCCTCTAACACCATTAGTATCAGAACCCACATGTTACTAGATGGGGCCCAGCTGGAATGTTTTATCTCCCTGGTCTCTCTCTCACATGCTCTCTCCTTCCCGACAGCCATGAGGTGAACAGCTTCTGCCCTGGAGCCAGCCAACCATGTACTGGAATCTTTGAAATCATATGCCTAAATAAATCTTTCCTCTCTTAAGTTGATTTTCTCAGGTATTTGTTACAGTGATGAAAGAGCTGACTAGCGCAAAATAGAATTAGAAATGACTGTTTAAAAATTAGGGTCCTATTCCTGCCTTCACATAATATCTGAACCCCAAGAGGTAGTAGAGGTCTTCCTCAGTCAGAAACCTAGAAACTTGCCCTTGTGACTGTCTTATTGCTCAGGCAAATTTCAATTTCACCCATTTCCTGTAGATTTAGTCTTTTATAATTAAGGACACTAGTGCCTGAAGAGAAGCACAGTGAGTCCCTAAGCCACAAAACCCAAGACCATGAAACATTTTCAAAATAACTCTCCTGAGCTGTTGAATTGTCATCTTCTAGTAGAATCAGAGAATGTTAAATCCAGAAAAGTATAGAGATGACATCTATGTACCTAAAATCAGGGATTCTTAACTTCAGGAATCTGTACTTCCCCTATGATTGTATTATTTGAGCATCTGTGCATTTTTCTGGGGAGAGGGTGGGGGGAATAAAGGTCAAAGCTTTCAGATTCTCAAAGGCACTTAGGACCCCAAAAAAGGTTAAGAATAAAAAAAAACTCACTCTTCCATTTTGAAAATATGGAAAGAAACTGAGGCCTCTAAGGGTTCAGTGATTTGATCAGGATTAAAAGGTTAAGTGGGAAGGTCTTAACCTAACCATAAATGTCCTTGATGATAGTGTCCCATGTGTGATTCACTAGGAAACACTTATGAGCTGGATGAGTAAGCTCAATTCCTACCCCGACAAATGTTCATCTGAGTGGGGAAGGGAACAGCCACAAAACAACATAGAGGTCAAAGGCTCTAAATCCATATGGAGTAGGGTGGGAGCCTCAAGAAAGGACATCCCTAGGGCAGAGTGATGCAGGACCTTGAAAACCCTGGTGATAAATAAATCCTGAAGTCTACTTAACATCTGTTATGTGCACATTTTTTTAGATTCTGAGTGGCCTCCTTCTGTTACATGCTAAACTGTGTTTTCTATCTCAAATGAGGTCCGGTCACTTCTAAAATAGGCAAAAACTAGTTCATTTCTCTGAATAGTTCAATTTTTTCCAATTAATTATTCTGAAGCTGAGACACTATTCCTACTAGTAACAGGCATAGTCACAATATCAGCAGTACTACCTCAGATGTATATAGTTTTCAAAATGTATTTTGAAGTTATGACACATCTACCATCTGTCTTTATTGTCCAAAATGTCCTCCTAAGTGGTAAAGCAAATCTTGTATGGGCCCACAAAATATAAAGAACTTATCCATGATCATTTTAAATGTTAGTAATAAAATCAAAACTAAAGCTCAAATCTTTACACTCATGCTATCTTACTGGATAAAGGCTAATACCCTCACCATAAAATGTCAGAAATGGAGTAATTCTGCTTACCTGAGACTCATATGCAATGCTAGTTCCTGAACAATACGATCATGTTTGCCGGTGGATGAGTGCTTGCCCAGCCAGCTCGGAAAGGTGGGAAACTGGGTCATGTACCCCCTCATCAACTCTCCAGGAAGAACACTGGCATAAATGGCCTGGGGGGAAAAATCAATTGCAGTCCAGAATTGAATTCAGTGCAATGTCACTTCGGTAGCAGTTGTTGGCTTCCCAGAAGGCTGCTATGATTTAGATAGGATTTGAGTGTGTCCACCAAGCCTTCATGACTTAGTTTTTAAGTCCCCACTGTGAGGTTTTAAGAGGGTAGAAACTTAATGCAAGTATACTGCTTAGAGGTGAGGCCCTGGAAAGTGATCTGGACTAGAGTCATTAAGGTGAAGCCCCATGACTGAATGCTGGTGAGGGAAGAGAGATCACTCACACACACACACACACACACACACACAGAGACATGCATGTTCTCCATCTCATGCCACATGATGCCCTGTGCCACCTTGGGACTCGACCAGGAAGAAGGCCTCACCAGATACTGGCCCCTAAACCTTCATAAATGTGAGCTAACTAGACCTCTCCTCTTTAAAACTTACACAGCCTGTAGTATTGCATTACTAGTAACTGAAAATGGACTAAAACATAGTCTACAGAAAATGAAGCAGTGTACCTAATTACAGGGCTGCCAGGCCCTTTCCCTGTCTCTGATCTGTAGGTGAAGGAAACTTCTAGAGAAAACAATGAATTGCAATCAACACCTTGTTCCATAACATGTGACAGCTCAGAGAAAGCTTGTATCCTCAGCCAGATGACCTCAACGTACCCGTTACCTCATGGATGCCAATGGCACAGCACAGAACTAGCTGAAGTGGAATGGGATTATCTTTACATAAGCAATTGACAGCACAGGTAGATTAATATATGGAAAGTCTAATAATTAGAGAATTGATTAGAGTGGCACTTGACAAAATTAAAAAGGGAACTTGACACACCTTTTAGAGTCAGGGTTTTGCTTTTTTAAAGGTTGGAATTATACTCCACATAAACATTGTATCCTGCTTCATTCTAGTAATATTCTCATGTTTTTTCATATTAGATAATCTCTACAAATAATAAAGGGTATAAAATTTTTCATCAAGGGATTACCAAAAGTAATCCTCTTATTACTGGACATGGAGATTTTCTCAAAGTTTCTGCTATCAGAACTAAAAAGTTAGGGAATATTTTTATACATTAAGATTTCCCTGGGCTGGGGTTGTAGCTCAGTGGTACAGCACTCACCTCACATGCAGGAGGCCCTGTGTTCAATCCTCAGCAACACATAAAAATAAAATAAAGGTATTAAAAAAAAAAAAAAAAGATTTCTCTGTGTTTAAAATTATTTAAGAGAAATTCTCAAAGGTACAATTATTAAGGCGGGGGTAGACACTTTTAAAACATAAAAGATTCTGTGTCTCCAGAAAAAATCTTTGTTTTCTATTTCCAAGCAACGTGTGGGAAGAATTAAAAGAAAATAGGCCTTCTGAAAGTCCCATGCTTACCACTCAGGCCACTAATGCTAAAAACAAAACTCTCTTAAATAAAAATGTCTGCCAAATTCTGCTTTCCCTTAAAGATATCAACTTATGGGCTGGGGTTGTGGCTCAGAGGGAGAGTGCTTGCCTAGCATGAGTGAGGCCCTGGGTTCGATCCTCAGCACCACATAAAAATAAAGCATATTGTATTGTATACACCTATAACTAAAAAATAAATATTTTTTTAAAAAGATATCAACTAAAATACAGTACCCAACATAAAGCTGCCTTGTTAGCAAAAAAGAAGGAAATTGGAATTCCTGCATCAGAGATGACTGCTGACCTGACCTGACTCATTCCTTTGAGGAGGAGCTACTTAGTGACCCTCTAGGAGGACCACAAATAACAAAAAATAAATAAATTCTTAAGGTAGAACAGGGCAAACAAATTTTTTTATTCACATCTTTGGTTATAACCAATATCTAGCCTCCCTCTTTCCGAGCATACATTTAGATAAAAACATTTTTTAAAAACACTGAAAAATAAAGACAGATTAGTAAACAGACAATAGTGATCACAGTGTTTTCATCTATAACAGATCACAGTTTTTCCAGAAAAGCCATATTATTCACCTGGTATCTTAAATAATGTAGGAGCCCAAAACTATTTTGTTCTCTTTGGCTAAAGCAAAATCCTTATATGCATATTATTATCTGAAATAAGTCAACCTCAAAAGTCTATATACTATGTAATTTCAAAGTCCACTCTTGAAGGAGAGCCCTACACCTACCTGTGTGGGCAGAAGACTCCAGTTTTGCTTACTCCGAATCTGACTGTCCACTAAGTCCCCATCACAAATGCTGTCTGCTGCTCGGCTCAAAAGCATCAAGTGCTTTTTCATGTCACCCCTACAGGAAAGAACCAGTCTGGATTACACCACTATCTACACCCCAGGACACTCCCTCCCAAATCTGTGGCCTTCGCAGCTCTGTCCTACCCCTCAGAAGTCAGAAAGCTCACCCTGCAGCTACAGGCTTCACATGCACATAGTTCTCCTGGACAAAGAGGGGTGCTATTGAATAGTCATGAAAAAAGAGATCTGATTTGTCCATAAGTGACATATGAGCAGTCTCCTCTCCAACTGCAAACACTTTCCGGGCAACATCAAATGGGCCCTGAAAAGAAGAAAGGACACACCTGTTAGAATGTTCAAAATCTAAAACACTGAACACAACGAATGTTTGGCAATGATACAGAGCAACAATGATACAGGCACTCTCACTGGTTGCTGGTGGGATTGTCACAAACACTTTCAAAGATAGTCTGATTCTTACAAAACTAAACTAACTTTTACCATCAGCAGTCATACTCCTTGGTTATCTACCCAAATGAACTAAAAACTTCATCTACACAGAAACCTGCACACAGATTTTTATAGTTGTTTTATTCATAATTGCCAAAAATTAGAAGCAACCAAGATGTCTTCAGCATCTGGATAAACAAACTATGGTAATCCACATAATGGAATATTACTCAACAAGTAAAAAATAGAAAGAGCTATCAAGTCATTAAAAGACATAAAGGGAACCTTATATGCATATTATTGTCTGAAATAAGTCAACCTCAAAAGTCTACATACTATGTAATTCCAATTATATTACATTCTGGAGAAGGCAACACTACAAAGACAGGAAAAAGTTTAGTGGTTGTCAGGGCTTAAGTGGGGAAAAGGGATAAAGAAACAGGATTTTTTTGGACAGAGAACCTACCCTACATGACACATCAATAGTGGACACATACCAAAAAACCATAGAATGTACACCAATTTTACAATTTACAAATGGGCCACTCTGGAGGGAAGGCTGGCAGGAGGGGAGGCTAGCAGAGGGAAAGGTTGTGCCTACTGGGGAGGGAGTGGTACAGGTATAGGAGAAATCTGCACCTTCCACTCAATTTTGCAGTGAACCTAAAACTATATCAAAAAATAAAATATATTAATTTCTTTTTAAATCCATTACTTAAATTGTGGAAAGAAAAAAAATTACTTAATCAACGCTCTAACATAATAATAAATTCTGACTAGTTAAATGAAGCACAGAGGAAATTGATACAGACCTCTGGTTTCATAGAGATTAAATTAAACCATTTGAAACAAATTATTCCAAATAGTACAAAACCATTCAAAACATGAAAGCTACCAGGTGGGTCACATTGGTAATCCCATCAATATGGGAGCCTTAGGCAGGACAATCATAAGCTCAAGGCCAGCCTTAGCAACTCAGTAATAATCTGCCTAAAAATAAAAACTTAGTGAGAATCTGGCCAAATTAAAATTTATATTGTTATATTGTGTGCATGTACAAATATGTAACAACAAATTCCATCAGTAAGTAGAACTATAATCTATTGATTTAAAAAAAAAAGGGAGAAAAAGGGACTGGGAATATAGCTCAGTGGTAGGGCACCCAAGTTCAATCCCTAGTACAAAAAAAAAATTAACGCCATACATAAGGGACTCTAGGAAAGCTATTTTGTAACTGTTGAAGCATGAGTATAAGTTAAAACTTATCCCTTTCTTAAAATTTATCATAACATTAACGATCCTTGAGGAAAAAATGAACTTGAATTAGAAATACTTCTAGCCACAGTGTCTTATTATAAATATCCATGGGTTGCACAATAACTCAATACCACTTCTATTAAGCTAGTACCTATGAACAAAAAGTGCTGCGCTTGGGAAGAAACTACAAAATGGATAGGTATTTTACCAGTTTGATATCCTTCTTGGCCCTATGAGAGTCGGCCTTGGCCTGGTCGTAGGTTAGCGCCTTGCTTCGTGCACACCACATACTCAGATTGTGCAAAACCTGAAAGAATCATAAATTAGACAATGAAAGATGGGAAAAGACCGCTGCTTCCCCTCCCAGCAGGACAGATGGATGGAACTACAGAATATCATGCTAAGTGAGATCAGTCAGTCCCAAACAACCAAAGGCCAAATGTTCTCTCTGATATGTGGATACTGGCCCACAATAAGGGAGGGTGGGGAGGGGAAGAACAGAAGTCCATTGAATTAGACAAAGGGGAACGGAAGGAAGGGGGAGGATTAGGGAAGACAGCAGAATTAACTGGACTTAACTTTCCTGTCCTTATTTATGAATACATGACCAGGGTAACTCCAAATCATGTACGACCCCAAGAATGGCATCCTAATAAGTTATACTCCATGCATGTACAATATGTCAAAATACTCTCATGTACATCAAAAAGAGAACAAATCAAAAAAGAATGAAGGCATTAATGAAAAAGAATCAACAACTGCCATAAGATATATTTAATTTACCTGTCTGATATCTTGATTGGCTCCTAAAATTATTTCATTCATAGCAGGAGGGGGAATCTTTAAACCCTCTTTAAATGCAATGGACATCATAGCACCCTGGAAATCAAAAGGAGGGAAGGATCTTTAATAATTTTTTATAACTCATAATCTAGCTTAAATAAACAAGACAGTTTGGTTAAAAAAAAAAAAAAAAAAAGAACCTTAATACCTTTATCTGTTCAACCCGAGGTCTTTGAAAACGAAGATCAAAACAATAATGAACCAAAGAGCGAATCTTGGGATGATTTCTATCATTACACATACAAATAATGGGTATTTTAGTATGTTTTATCAGGCCAATTAATTCCTAAAAAACAAATTTGCAAGACAAAAATAATTATTTAAACAACAAAAATGTCACACAATATATTTTAGGTTTTAAAAACCTCCCTAACGATATGCTTTAATTATTATAAATATCAATGCATAATAAATATTTTCTAAAAATCTAAAAATCAGCAGTAAAACTGAAAAAGTATATGCTTCCATTACCTGCACTCCGCCCCGGTCTTCACTGCCTGCCATGCCGTCTACTTCATCCATGATGAGCGCGTGTTTCATGCTTATGGAAGGGGCTGCTCCACCAGAGCCTGGGTGAGACGCAATAGAATGGGACAAAAACGAAAAACAAAGTTCAAAAACTGCTACTTTACAAATAATTATATAACGCATTTTAAACTTCAAAAGCTTTAAGAGTAAGCAGTAAAAGGAAATTCTTTCACCCCTTCTGTAGGGTTTCCCTTCCCAGAGGCAAACAATAGTCTCTTGAATCCCCCCCCAACTCCCGCCTTTTTTAGGGTCTTTTAAATTTTATTTATTTATTCTAATTAGGTATATAAGACAACAGAATGCATTTTGATTCATTGTACACAATTGCAGCACAACTTTTCTTAAATACCCTTTAAGAGAAATTCTATACATGTTAATAATGTACATTTAATATATTTTTGGTGATGCTTTCCCTTGTCTATAGATACAGAACAATTCCTTTGTTGACACTGGGGATTAACCCAGGGAGGCTTTACCTCTGAAATACATCCCCAACCCTTTTTATTTTGAGATAGTTGCTTGGGGTTTCACTAAACTGCTGTGGCTAGCTTCAAACCTGTGATCCTCCTGCCTCAGCCTCTCAAGTAGCTGGGAATACAGGTGTGTGTCACCGCACGCAACTAGAACACTTCATTTTTCTCAAGACTATTTAATATTCCATTTTAACAAAGGCATCATAATTTACTTACTCACTATCTACCAATGAAATATTAACATACTCCCAAGCTTTTACTATAAGTTACACTTAATATCCTCATGTGTGTGCACACACGTCATTTAACAGTCCATAAACCAGTATAGTAATAACTGAATACCAGGAACTAGACTTTCTGGTTAGAGGTGTGTATAATTAAACTCTGAGAAACACAGCCAGGCAACTCTCCCACCAGCCATGAGTGACATTTCCTGAGCAACTTCATTAAAGAAAGATTTTCTGCCACTGAAAACACCAAGAATGCAGGTGAGCAGCAGTACACCTCCGGCTCTCAACAGTTAGTTGAGTCCTTAATTTGGCATCTTAATTCTCCCCGTGAACTCTGGCTGTTCAGAACCACCAGCCACAGCCTAAAACACAGTGAACACTTCCACACTGTGTTTTTTCTTCTCTTCTACTATTTTTGCCTGAGATGACATTTTCTACCTCCAAATAGATCTCTCTTTCTTCAGGCCTTTCTAATAAATACCATCCTTTCCCAGCTTGCTAGCTTAGCCAGAACCCCAAACACAATCATTCCTCATCTGCAGGCCTTATTACCTCATTCATCACATGGAATTATATTTATTTTCCTGTGAATCTCCTAAAATCATATGAAAATGCAAAAATTTTACCATAGTCTCAGAAACCTCAAAGCCTAAAGCAGGGTAACCATTATGCTATAAGGGTTATGCTAGAGGACTTTCTTACTTTCTTGTTAGCCCCAAGATTCAGCAGGGTGCCTGCTGCACAGCAATACTGGTTACAAAACAGTAAAATCAACTTATTTTTCTTATATAACAATAACAGTTCAAAAAGCCACATACTTGAATAAAAGCCTTTGATGCTGGTGTTATTCAGTGATTCAGCAACAAGTGCCTTCAAACTGTTCTTACTCCGAGTGTCACTTGCATTTAGTTCCACGTAGCTATATCCCAATTCCTAATCCAAATATCAGACATCATTACTATCACAATGCAAATTAATTTCTTTCCCACAAACAAAAGGGAAAAGTTCATTAAGAAAAGAAAGCAAAAATCACATAAAGAACCATGGGTAAAAATACAAAGTATAATCACAAAAGACAATGATTTTAACTATGTCTCAAAATATTAGTCATTTTTTAAAATATCACATATAGACAGCACACCTATATATATAAACACATGAAAGTTCTATCTTAAGGCCTCAGCTACTAAATCACTAATCTGGAAGAATATATTTAAACAAACAATTTTATAAAGTTTGCTTCTTAGAGCCCTAAAATTTTAAATATAAAAATCCCAAGAATTCAATACCAGATAAAGAATTAATCTATTATAAAATACCAAAAAGTAATTCTTGCCTAGGATAAATTATAAAATTAGAAATTAAGTCATTCTTTGCCAAACTATCCCAAAATACAATTTTCCTCTTTAATCAGGAAAATCCAAGTTATTCTGATTCATTTTCCAAAACTGATTAGCTTTAAAAATGCCTTATTCTTCATTATAAACAAAAAAGGAATGATACCAAGGGAGAAAAAATAGTGCTCATAAATGTAGATATCAGGGAAAAAAAATTGCTTTGCTTTTTTTAAAAAATACAGTGAAAAATATATAAGCACTTATATTTAAATTTTATGTTCTGATCCATACAACAAAGACCAAAATAAGTTACCAGCTTATGTGGCAAAGGACTGGGAACCCAGCAATAAATTTATAATCCCTTATTACTCTGATAACACAAGAACTCTGATATATTCTAGTCTAGTGCCTCTCACTGTCTAGAGAGTTAGCAGTAATAGACACAAGAAATTAGGCAGAATCACGTGGTGATAAAGAGCAGGAACCCGAGTCAGACCACCCAGGTTTAGATTGTGCCCCCATGTGTTTTACCTGTCACATGAGGTTAATAAGAGGACATATTCTGAATACACAGAATAGTCACAAAAGTATATGAGTTATTTGTATCTTTCAGGGTCTGTAACAGCTATTTACATTACAGGTTGAGTACCCCTTGTCTGAAACGCTTGGGACCAGAATTGTTTCAGGTTTCAGGGTTTTTCAGATTTGGGAATATTAACATACATTTTACTGGATGAACATGCTTAACCTGAGAACCTGGAATCCACAAATTTTCCAAAATCTGTAACTTTTTGGGTGTCTCAGCAATGCTCAAAAAGTTTTGGAGTTTCAGAGCATTTTCAATTTCAGATTTGCATATTAGGAATGTTCAACCTGTATCTAAGATAATGTACCCAAGTGCTTTAATAACAGCACAATGACTGGCTCAAAGGTAAATTTTACTTATTAGTTCCCCCCTTATCCACAGTTTTTTACTTTTTGAGATTTCAGTTAATCAACCATAATCTGAAAATATGAAATGGAAAATTCCAGAAATAAACAATTCTTAAGTTTTAAATTGCATCCATTCTGAGTAGCATGTTGAATGCTCAGGCTGTCTTGCTCTATCCTGCCAGGACGTGAGTCAGCCCTTTGTCCAGAATATCCATTCTGTATACACTATCTGCCCATTAGTCACTTAGCAACTGCCCTGTTTATTAGATCAAGTATAACAGTATGGCAGTGCTTGTGTTCAAATAACCCTTATTTTACTTAATAATGGCCCAAAGAACAACAGTAGTGATGCAAAGAAGGTAACATGGTATAAAACTTGGAGGACAGATTGCATGGCAATGGTATTATGTGGCAAGCTGTAGGGCATATAGGGAAAAACAGTATATGTAGAATATGGTACCATCTGTGTGGCTTTAGGCATCCATCTGGGGGTTTGGGACGTATCACCCACAGATAAGGGGCACTAGTGTATTTATCTCAAAAAGGATGAAAATAACAAATATCACCAGAACCAAAACAGATTTTAAAAGTTGGATTTTAGAAAAATACACACCGCATGTTTATACACACATCTTATACACTAGCATTTGTCTGATACAGGAGGTTATTTCCAACCACAGTGACAGTGTACCCACCTGACACACCAGAGAAGCTGTGGTGGTTTTGCCAACACCAGGAGGGCCTGAGAGCAATGCTGCTTTAAAACTAGAGCCATCGTCTTTACCGGCAAATTTACCAAACTTTGCTGCCAGAGAAAAAAAAGTTTCAGAGTGTTACCTGGGTCACCCAACAGAGATTCCAGGAATGGCAGGAATAGGTTATGTGTGAACTATCCACAGAAAGCATTCATCCAGGTTAGTTCTAAATTTGTAGAACAAAACTAATTTGCTTTCAAACTCTGACATGAAACAATAGTTTTATGAGTTTCCTTTTCTACAAAAGCACAGGCCTGACTCCACCCATCTCCAGCTGGGAGAACTTGAGTCAAGACTGAACCCCTCCATGTCTATCTTCTGCTTTGTAAAATCAAGATTAATAACAGTGAAGTAGCTGATACTGTGGTATGAGGATCAAAGTGCTAAGCACAGACTCGGGTCTGCCTCAATAAATGCTAACAACCAGAATCAGTTATAGGAGCACAAGGAGAAATAACAAGTTAAAGATGCTAAGTCTACAACTATCTTGCACAGCTCAAAGCTAGAATTTCCTTCCTACCCTTACTATATGGGTGCTGGAACATATAGAGACCCAATGGACACTCAATAACAGAGAAATGATTGCACCTGCTATCCATGGACATAGAAAAAGAGATTACAGTTCATTTGTAGTCTTAAAGTCTTCTCCAGGCATACAAAATACTTGTTCCCCTTTTAAGGTAGGTTTTATACAGTTTCAGGAAGAGAAAATAAAAATTTAACTAAATCTTAAACTATGTCATTAGAATTACATTATTTAACGGTTATGAATAAAGTAAACTGGCATTGCTTGCAATGTCAGGCAGCCATGCAGACATTAATGACTCAGTCAGTTACCACTTTGGGGATTTGCTATACTGCTCCTAAAGTTTGTTTTCTTATTTTTCATGAACTGTCTTCTAGGGCTATGGCTGAAACTTAAGAAAACACTACCAATATCATGATCTGAAACTTCAGTTCCAAAAATACTTTAGACATTAAACATATATTTTGACTTTTCATTTTTCATGACAATTACATGGTAAACAAGGATAGAAACTACTGAAGTACATGTCTATCAAGCTTACCAAAAGCAAATCACACACTGCTGGGATTTTAGGTTGCCTACTTTGTGTGCATGCCTCAGCCACTTATTCACACTTTTCACCATACGGCTCTGGGCACTCTTCTCTCTTTCCCACCCCAAATCCACCCATCCCTTTACCTGGCTATCTCCTACTTGGATTCCAAGCCTTAGCATAGCCATCCATTCCTGTAGGATGGGAGCACACATCTTCATCCCTGACCCCACACTTCCACCCCAGAAGCACCCTGTACTTACCCCTCTAACAGTACTTGGCACAATGCATTTTAATGGCTGGTTCATATGTCTCCCCTACCACCTGTGAGCTCCTGAGGGGCTTTGTTCACAACAGCACCACAAGGGTCTAGTAGAGCACCTAGGCTTAGAGCAAGACTCAATAGCTTGCTGACAGATGAATGAACCAACCATTAACCTTTTGCATATGTGTGCAACTGAGCAATTATATGCTGACAGACACACAAAATGAGTGAAGTTGTGAAATCACCATGTTTCTTCTCTTCAGGAGAACTCTTGTGCCAGTTTCGGAGCCAGCGTAGCAGTTTATTGGCACAACTCTGGTCACCTTGCTGTCCAATTATAGTCTTGAGTGAAGTTGGCTTGTATTTATCTACCCAGAGCAAATTTTCCACTTTGCTTTCACCGCTGTCAGCCAAATCCCTAGCCTTACTGTCACCCTGTGTGTCCTGGGCCACCTGCTCCTTAAAGTCCAGGCCTTTCCGAGGCACGTTTGTTTCCTGTGTCTCCTTTCTTATTGCCTTTACAGAACTGTCCCTTTTAGGAGTTAGCTTCTTCCTTTTAGATTCTGACTCCTTCTTGGTTGGACTACTTTTTCTTTTTCCTTGATTATTTTTTTGGGGTGTTCTCTCCAATTTGGATTTTTCTTTCTTCATCTTAAAAAGCAGAAAAATTAGAGAAAAAGAAACCTGATGAGACACAGAAAATTTCAATGCTGCAAAATGTACTCAAGAGCAACCTGAGATACCCAGGTTACTCGATTATTGAGTTACTCAATCTGGGTTGGTCTTTTAATGATGGACCCTGTGGTTTGTGGAAATCACCACTTTTCAAACTTTCAAACGTGACTCAGTGGTAGAGTGCTTGCCTAGCACGTGTAAGGCACTGGATTCAATCCTCAGCACCACATAAAAATATGTAAATAAAATAAAGGTGCCGTGCCCATCTACAACTAAAAATGTTTTTTTAAAAATTAACAAACATACTAAAAGTAAGAACATGCTGTTAAGTAATAAGAACTCCACCCAATTTCACTTTGAAAAAAGAGTAATGATTTAAAAGATTTTTTGTTTTTGAAGTTTCCTGACTAGTTAAAAGCTAATGCTCCACAAAAATTTGTACTTAAATGTTTACAGCAACATTATATTAAATGACATATATAATATAGCCAAAAAATGGAAACAACTAAATTTCCATCAACTGATAACCAAATAAACAAATGTAATCCATATCCATACAGTAGAACATTATTCACCCATAAAAAGGAGTAAAGTACTAATATATGCTACAACATAGGTGAACGTTGAAACCATTATGCTAAGTAAAAGGTCAACATGTTGTATGATTCCGTTTACATGAAATGTCCAGAATAGGCAAGTCCACAGAGACAGAAAGTAGATTAGTAACTGCAGTGGTGGGTATGATGAGTGACTGCAACTGAGTTTCAGATCTCATTTTGGAGTAATGACAATGTTCTGGAATAGGCAGTGGTGAAGTTTGCACACTTGTGTGACTATACTAAAAACACTTGACTTACACACTTTAAAAGGGTGAATTATGGTATGTACATAATATCATAATTTCTAAAATAGTTAAATGTCTTCATCAATGCCTGCTAAAACTCATGGACAAATATTTAAGGAGAAATAGAACACTTAGCATCATCTTCAAGTATCTACCTCAGATAGTTATCAATTACAAAGGGGAAAACAGTTTTTCTACTAGTGCAGAACCAGGCAGGCACCATGTCAACCAACTAACTGAACAAGTCATGCCTGCATTATATACATGTCATGCACTAGGAATCATGTACATATCATACCACTCCTGGGAAACTCCTGCCAAAACAATTAAACTCAATCTAATTAACGGAAAACATCAAAGAAACCAAAACTGAAAGATTCTCCAAAACAATGTTAACTTCCTGTTTTTAACAACTTTACTACAGTTACACAATACAAATCATCCCCTCAGATTTTTCTAACTGTCATAAACTGGGTGGATCATCTTGCCACATTGGTGACAGTGCTAGAGTTGTTAATCTCAGGATGCTAGAACTCCTATGTCCTGCTTTGAGAAAAGCAGCTATATAATGCTGGAATGAATGAGGGTAACACTAAAAGAAGCAGAGACAGAAAATCAAAGGGTTCTGAAAGCACTGGACCCTGAGTTCCTACTCAAGACCCACTCGGCTCTTAGTTTAGCTTAACTGACTACATTTTTTGTTTTTTTGCTGAAACCAAGACAAGCTGAGTTTGTGTCTCAACAGAAAAAGCCCTAATAGTTCAAACTAAGCACTAATCATGCTAATGCCCAGAACATATCCTTTAAAGAACTGCTAAGCAGTAATTTCTGCTGTAAAGTCAACACAAGAATATGAGATACGAGGAAAGTTTAACAAGTCGATACGTGTAATACACTGCCCTCTCTCTGCCTCTCTTTCTCTACATATTATTTTGAGAAAGCCAAGGAAATACACCGTGGAAGACATCCTGAAGAGAGTCCTCCAAATCAAAAGGAAATAAGGTTAAGTTCATTTGTGGTAAAAGAACAGTTAATCTTCTAGCCAATGAACCTGTATCCATATAAGATATGTCTGCATGAAATAGGAAATGTTTCTACGTTCTGACTTAAATAAATCAAGTTCATTTATACAAACCTCAGCTTCAACTGCTATTTCATATTTAGACTTCTTGCCTGGCATAGTTCGAATCAAATTCAACAGTCCATCTTCATCAATAATTTTTGTCCCCAAGGCTGCTGCCTGTTGATTAAAAATGAGAATCATCAGGGGCTGGGGTTGTGGCTCAGTGGCAGAGCGCTTGCCTAGCATGTATGAGGCATTGGGTTTGATTCTAAGCAACATGGATCAATAAATAAAATAAAGGTCCATTGACAACTAAAAAAAAATTAGAAGAAAAAAAAGAAAGAAAGAAAAGAAAATCATCACTGCTAAGTGAAGTTAGCCAATCCCAAAAAAACAAATGCCAAATGTTTTCTCTGATATAAGGAGGCTGATTCATAGTGGAGTTGGGAGGAGGAGCATAGGAGGATTAAACGAACTCTAGATAGGACAGAGGGGTGGGAGGGGAAGGGAAGGGGCAAGGGGGTAGAAAAGACAGTGGAATGAGATGGACATCATTATCCTAAGTACACGTATGAAGCCATGAATGGTGTGAATATACTCTGTATACAACCAGAGATGAAAAATTGTGCTCTATTGTAATATGTGTAATATGAATTGTAATACATTCTGCTGTCATATATAACAAATTAGAATAAAATTTTTAAAAAAAAATGAGAATCATCAAAACTGCACCCTAACCATTCATTTTTATAAGGGGGGGGGGGAGATTTCAGGGCCTATTTGTAAATTAGGTAACATTAAATTTTTTTTTCAGGGGGTGGTACTAGGGGTTAAACCAAGAGTACTGAGTTACATCCCCAATTCTTTTTTAATTTTTATTTTGAGGCAGGGTCTCATTAAGTTGCTTAAGGTCATGCTAAATTGTTGAGGCTGACCTCAAACTTGTAATCCTCCTGCCTCAGCCTCCTGTGCCATTGAGATTACAGGTATGTGCCACTATACCCAGCAACAATGGAATTTTTAAAAAGCAAAAACATTCACTGAAAAAGCACTATTAAAAAGAAAGAAAGAAAATACCAAGCATGGTAGCTCATGGCTGTAATCCCAGCAGCTCCTGGAGGCTGAAGCAGGAGGATCATGAGTTCAAAGCCAATCTCAGGAATTTAGTGAGGTACTTAGCAACTCTCTAATAAAACATTTAAAAAGAGCTGGGGGCACTGGGATTGTGGCTCAGTGGTAGAACGCTTACCTAGCATGTGTAAGGCACTGGGTTCGATTCTCAGTACCACGTAAATAAATTAAATAAACAAAGTTTTAAAAAAAAAAGAGAGCTGGGGATGTGGTTCAGTGGTTAAGCATCCCTGGATTCCATCCCCAGTGCCAAAAAGAAAGAAGGGGGGTGGGGGTAGAAAATGATAGATAAACTCCTTAAGAGTGATATGCTAACAGCTGAAGTATCACATTATTATTATTTTTTTTTTTTTGTGGGGGGAGACAGGTTCTCACTAAATTGCTAAGGCTGGTTTAGAACTTGGAATCCTCCTGCCTCAGCCTCCCAAATTGTTGGGTTTACAGGTGTGGGCCATCACACCCAGCTAACATTACTACTTTTGTGAACTGCTTTATCTTTCCTCCCAGAAAAGGGCAAAGCCACCAGGATCTAGGTCCAGTTCTTCACACCCTCTCCTATGTTTGACTCATACTCATCTTCCACCACCTTCTTCCCTGCTAGCACAACTGCAATGTGTCCATCTCCAAGTGATGGAGTATGTCTGGTCTAAGGCAATCAGAGAATTCCTGCTCCTCCCCAACCTCCATTAGAGCTCTGAATGTCCATGTGCCAGCTCTTGCCAATGACGCTTGGGTGGAACTCTACAGGAGATGTTTCTGGGAAGATGCCTGTCAGGCCACTCACAGCTATTATGACATCTTGCCCCTGTGTCCTTTGTCCTGCTTTGAATGCAGCTACCTTGCAATCATAAGGCGACAGGCATGAGGACTAAAGGAAGATGGCAATGGAAGGTGGCACTACCCTGGCTACATTGCCCAGCTACTGAGCCAACTGCTGACCTCTGAGATTATTGTCAGGTGAGGAAAATAAGCAGCAGTTTGTCTGAATCACAAGTTGAGTTGGATACTCTTTTACTTGGAGCTAAACACAATCCAACCTAACAGACCTCAATCTTCCCTTAGAGATTCCAGTAAAAAAAAAAAAAAAAAAAATTAGGATGGAGTATATCACGACATATACAGGAAAACTTAGAGCTAGAGAAAAAAGAAAACTGCATTTGTTTCTCTATCTTAAAAAAAAAAAAAAAAATTATTATTAACTAGAAGACACTAAGGAAATCAAATAAACAGGAACTATGCCTTCAATTGGAAAACCAAGAGCCTGGAGTCAAAGCCAACAGCACCTATACAGAGAAGAAATAACAAATGAAATTACTTTTCCTATATTTTCCCTCATTTAACTCTCTATATAAAGGCATTACTTAGTACGCACAGTCACACCAAGAGCATGCCAAGGAAGTAGGCTCCCACACTGCGGGGGGGCACAGCAGGACCCACCTTATCACTCTTGGACTGTCCACTATCACGACCCATGACAAGGTAGTTGGTTTTCTTGCTGACATTTCCTGTTACTTTTCCCCCATAACGTTCAATTAAAGATTTGGCTTCATCTCGTTCAATGGACTCCAGCACTCCTGTGATCACAAATATAAGGCCTTCCAAGCAATTTTCAGCTCCCTAAAAACCAAAAATGTTCACACAGAGAAGAAATTACATGGTAGCTTTCCAAAGAAATATTTGGCATCAAAAATTCAGCAAGCTGATTTTTCTCATTTGACATCATAAGTAACCTTGGCATGAAAAATTGGCTGGAAATTTACAGCAAATAAGCAGAACCTGAAACTAAATCCTCAGAAATTCTTATGTAGCTAACGTTTTTCAATTTTTTTTAAATGAGCTCCAAGAAAAACAATTCTCTTAGCAAAACTCATTAAAATTACCCATTCATGCAATTTTCCATTTTGTTCTTTTATATTTCAATTAGTTAATCAACTTGCATAACTTCAAACAACCAAATGCAATCCACCCACAGAAACTCTTGCTATTATTAAAAAGGGAAAGTTAATTATGAAAATCTTATGAGGTTGGAACCTCCCCTTCTCTCTGCTGACTATGCTAGGACAGTAAATCCAACAATTGGCAGGAGCTTAAAGGCAAGATCATATTATTCCTTGATTGGAAAGATAACTGATAATCTAAGGCATTTTGGCCAAAGGAAGCTGGATGGAGAAGACATAATCATATTTGCAACTATATAAGTCTATATATGTTATAGACTTTTATTTTAACAATATATTAATGAAATTATACAACCAAGCAAAATGAAAATCACACATGACACGCCAAATTACTATTACTGTTTTATCTTTTTGTTATTAACCATGGATTGAACCCAGGGGTGCATAATCACTGAGCCACATCCCCACCCCCTTTTTTTATTTTGTATTTCAAGACAAGGTCTCACTAAATTGTTTAGAGCCTTGCTAAGTTGCTGAGGCTGGCTCTGAACTTGTGATCCTCCTGCCTCAGCATCCCAAGCCATGGGTATTACAGGCATGTGCCAACATGCCAGGCTACTATTACTCTTTGAGTAAAGAACTGAGATCAACACAAACTTAAAACAGGCTTGAAAAGCAACTACACAAAATTCAAAGACTACCCTACCACAAGATCAATCCTTCCCATCTAGGTGAAAATTATTTTTTAAAAGACAAAAAAAAATTAGCTATGAATTTGGCTAGAAAGAAAAAGTTTGACTAATAAAATCTCAAGGTCCCTTCAAGGCCCACAGTTCTAGGATTGAAATGAGCCAATGCAATACTACAGGTACTTCCTTCTTGACAGATTCAAAATAACCCTGGAACAGACCACATGGAAGCCCCTATAACTCAAACCCCAATCATCTGCTATTTCCTAAGCAATCCCCCACAATGATTCTGAATGTCTCTTTGCTTATCAACCTCAGCACTTCCAGCCTCCTTACCCAGCCCTTCCATTCTAGGACTCCTCTGTAGGCCTTACTCCAGGAGCAGCAAACCTCTTCTCAATCTCTTTTCCAACATTCCCTCCACAGTCTTTCCATCACTGAAACCCACTGTCACCTAAGGACACCAGTTTTCCAAAAGTCCTCTCAATTAGTGGCTTATTTAGTCTTTCAGTGACATGCCTGGGCACTAGACTAACATCTTTCTATAGCTTCCTGTACAATCCACAAGCCCCTCCAGGTTTACCCCTTTCCCCTTGCCACCCCACAGCTGTACCATCCTCTGCCCCTCTTTATTAGGGGAACTACTAATCTCCATTTGTCGTTATGTATACAAAGCTACATGTGCTATCTCCATTTTGTCTCCCACACTCACTCCTTAGCCCACTTTCATCAGGCACTGCCTCAATCAATCCAATGAAGCTGCTCTAGCTAGGGTCACCAAGGACCACTATTCATGTCACTAGGTGAAATGACAAATTCCCATCTCATTTTTCTTAGAATCTTAACATGACAGACTTAATAGCCACCCTTATCATTTTAAAAGTACTCTCTTGCCTTTGCTTCTGTAATACCACCCTTGAAAGACTTCTCTCTTATGTTAGTGGTTATTTCTTTTTTGTCTCCTTTTGATTTTCACCCCCCTCTACTTCCCAAAGATACTGGGGACAAGGCCCCCTACTCCTCCCGTTCAGTTCAACTCTCAGATAATATTAATCCCTTCAAATATTACCTAAACGAATAATGCCCAAGTTTACATCCAGTCTTGACTTCTAAGCTCCATTGCTACATACATATTTGCCTACTCAGCATCTCTGCACAGACACTGAAAACAGCATGACCAGCAATGAACTCATCCACATCTTTCTAAACTGGCTCTGCTCCAGTAGCACCAGTGTTCACCTAGTTGCTCATAACCAGGAGACCATCCTTATGCTCACTCTTCCTCAGTTCCCTCTTCCAATTACCACAAAGTCCTGCAGATTTACCTCTTCCCTTGAAACCACTTCAGGTCTACCTTCACTGCTCCCTCAGACAGGCCTATCATTTCCTACCACAGCTCCTAACTGATCTTCCCCTTTCTATTCCTGCCTTGCCATAGCACCCCAGACTCAGCAGCCACAGTGCTATTTAACATATGCAATCTGGTCAAGTCAGTCCCCACTTACAACCTTTTTCTTACACAGAAGCCTGAAACATGGTGCCCCACAAGATATAGTCCCTCTCATTCCTTGGTCACTTTGCTATAACGGTATCAGTTTTCTTTTGCTTGTTCAAACATGCCATGCAAGATCCTTCTGCCTTCAAGCACATCACACATGCTGGCCCCTCTGACCAGATCACCATGCCATCACAACCCCATGACACCTGTGAATCCCCTTCATTCTTAAAGCCCCCATGTATAAATGCCATGTATTCTTCATGTCCTACCCAGGTCCTACTTCTTCTATTATATTAAGAGAACCCTGGATTTTTCCATCATGGCCATATAATTACAAATAAGTAATAATCTATTTAATCTTTCCCCTTAAACTATAAGTGCATGAAGGCAAAGGCATTTGTCTTCTCACCAGTGTATTCTCAGAGCCTAGCCCTTCTCAGGCTACTTGTTATTTAAAGGAATTTAAGTATCAGGCAGAGATTCATAATATGAAAAAACATCACTCATTCATAAAGTTGTGGCTTAGTTTTCTATTTTTAATTTTTCATTATTACTCTGCTACTGTAAGCATACTGAATGCACACATGGACCCACAAGGCAGAGGTGGCATACTCGCTCAATACTTTTACCTTTGGTATTTCTTTGGAGCCCAGAGCTTTGGGACCTTCTCGATTTAAGTAGCTTCGATAAGCTTGATAATTAGTTCGTTTCTTTTCAGAATCTTCTGGACTTACAGACTTTGAGGAGCAGAAAAGGAAATTGAATAAAGTCATGCAAAATTCATGTAAAATTAAAAATACATACCTAGAAATAAACATTAAAGACACTTCTGTGTTTTATCCTGAAAATAACAATTTGAGTTATGTAAGTACTCCAGGATGCCTGACTTACAAACCCTTGCATCGGTCCTTCTCAAAACAGTCTACTCTCTCTAAAGGCACATACCTCAGGGCAGATCCAGGGCATAAGCCAAGTTGCCAGTTCTAAGTAAGGAAATGGAAACTATTTTATTTTAGAAATTCATGTGGATTTTAAATTCTATTCCATGTTAAATCCATGATTATTTACAGAAAGATAAATTCCTTTACAATTAAATCTGTTAACCCAAGAAGATATCGTGTTTACCTACGGCCTTGTTTATTCCTAGATAATTCAAAGAACACTAAAATTCTGTGTGCCACCATTATCCCTTCTGTGTTTAACCTCTCCTATCTAGCTCTCTCAAGAGCTCTTACCATTTTATTATAGCTCAGAATATCCTGGGGAATGGCTAGGATAGGTATACCTGAGGGGAGGGGAGGGTCCTAGGTTCTGATTTAAGAACCACTACTAGATGGTCTTTATTGATTTTTCTACTTCCTATTTTATATTATTTTTAACTTATAAGCAATCCAAAATCCCTTTGAGAATAGAAAAAACATTTCTATATAAATAAGTGATATAACTAATAAAATAGTTAAGCTCATTTGGTTATGAGTTAAATAAGCCAATATAGAATCTAACCCTACTTTTTAACAATGGCTCCACACATTGGTTATTAAACTATAGCTGCCCACACCACATGCCCTGGAAACCATATTTTTAACAAGTTTCACAAGGGAGTCCAATGCATACCATCATGGGAATGTTATTCATTTATAACAATAATTCATTAGGGAAAAAATCTGAAATATAAACAACTTATAAAATAACTTTGAAGCATACCCATTTACAAAGTTAGATTTATTTGAGATCAACTGAATTTACTAAACATTGATGTTCTCAAAACTACTAAGTAAAAGTTCTGAGTTCTTTCTAACTTTGAAAACTTTCATAAAGAGTAACAGTTTAAAAAAAAGTAATAATATCATTAAAAATTTCCTTTTATTTCATAAAAATACACATCCTCTGTAAACTAAACATGTTTAGTGTGCCTGAAGAAAAACATTCATCTACCAGATAAGTATTTAGTGAAGAAAAATCTGAGACCAAAAAGTTAATTGCTCCTTTAAGCGTATTTATGAGCACTACCCACAAACAAAAGCATTTCAAAATCATCACCATTTCATGGTTTTGCACTAAAAAGCAATGATGATGAGCAGTTAAAATAGACAGTATTCTGCTTTTAATGATAAGTGCCTAGCATGAAGGAACAATGGTTTCTCATTATGAATCTAAAGTGTTCCAAATTGGAGATTCAAAAAAGAACATTAGCTTCCCATATATATATATATAAAAAAAACTTTTGAAAAGCATTCATTATTTTACCATTTTTCCTTTGGAAATGATTTCAGTACTTCAACACTATCATATGAGAACAAAAAAGGAATAACTTCAGGACAAATACAAACAAAAATTCTTATAATTATACTAGCTACAACTTACACAGCACTTACTATATCCCAGGCACGGTCTAAGTGGTTTTACAGATTGAGTCATTAGGTACTCTTATTATCTCGAAGTATAGAGAGGGGAATCAACCAGATCAAGGTCACAATTCTGCTCAGTGGTAGGGCTGGGATTGGAAACTTGCTCCAGAGCCTATGTTTGGAGCCACTATGTTGCACTGCTATTTTTGTCTTGAGTTCTCTGCCACTTAACTATGTGGTTAATCTTATAAAAGTTACTTAAATTCTTTCAGCCATTTCCTCACCTTTACAACTTGAATAATAAAAGAAAATATTTCACAGGGTTATTGTAAATATTATGAGATACCATATATAACATATTAGCAAAATACCTGATACATATTAACAATAAATACTGGCTAACTTAACTATAATTATGTAATAGTTTAAAATAAAATAGTACCTTCCGGGGATCAAACTCAGGGCCTGGCACATGCTACACACCCACTCTACCACTGAGTTACACTCACCACCGCCCTTAAATAGTATCTTAAAAGATCTGTAATGATTGGAAGTTGAAAATAAAATCTGAAAGCAATCAAACTCAGATAACCACAAAGCCCCAAAATAAACTTTTTTTGGTACTGGGGATTTAACCCAGAGGCACTTTATCACTGAGCTATATTACTCAGACCTTTTTTTTTTTATTTTGAGAGAGGGTCTCGCTAAGTTGATTAGGGTCTCACTAAATTGCTGAGGCTGCCCTCGAACTTGTGATCCTCCTGCTACATCTTCCCAAATTGCTGGGATTACAGGCGCGCACCACTGAGTCCAGCTAGCCGAGATACATACTGTTCAGAAAGTTCATACCTCTTTTTTAGCTGGAGAACCTTTGGTTTTCTTAGGAGTTTTCTTCTCTCCTTTCAACTCATTGGCACTGTCTTTTCTATTTGAGGCCACAGGCTCTGTTTCTTTATAGGAACTCTCTTCTTTTGCTTTCATAAGTGCCAACTTAGAACTGGCCTTTGGAGAAGAGGATTCTCCTGATGACTTGGAATGTTGCTGAGATTCTTTTGAGTTTTCACACTTAGTTGGCTTATTAGGACTATAGCTCTTTCTTGCATTTGAAAATTGTTCTGTTTAAGAAAAGATTATGATTATTCTTTTTGGAAAACAACACCCAATATCAACACTCCATTTGTTTATTTGTTTTTTTCTTTTCAACTGAATGATCTTAGTAGTACATAGTATAACACAGTGATTTCAAAACATTAATATTTTCATTTCTTAGCTTATATGGCATATCTATTTTTAAAAATTAAACATTTACATATTGCTTCTTTAAAAAACCAGTTCAAATTAAGAGATTTGTCTGTCATTTTAAATACAAACTACTCATTTCTGGCTATAATATTGTAAACAACATCACACCACAAATGTGCTCTGAAATTTACACAGAGAAACTTACTGACTAGAATATGCCACATAAAAATTCTATGGTTGGCAAGCTCAAAATTCGGAGGTGTGAAGACCAAAAGATACTTCATAAATAGATTTACTCATAGGATTAAGATCATCTATGCAGTAAGTCCTCCACATCTGGGGGTCCCACATTCATACATTCAACCAATCATGAATCAAAAATATTTTTTAAAACTGTGTCAAGTGATTGTAGCTCAGTGGTAGAGCGCTTGCTTTGGATGCATGAGACACTGGGTTCAATCCTCAGCACTACATAGAAATAAATAAATTAATATATTTTTTAAAAAACTGTGTCAATAACACAGATGGACTAGACATATTTTAAAACGTTTAAAAATTGTGTCAATATTATGATATATGCATGTATAAATATACCACAGTGAATTCCACCTTTATGAATATCTATGAAACACCAATTAAAAATAAATACATTAATAAATAAGAGGAAGACCAATAGAATAGAGGAGGGAAATGGGGGAAAGGAGGAGGCAAGAGGTGGCCCAAGGGACTGAAATGGAGCAAATTAAATTACATGCAATGTATGATTATATCAAAATGAACCCAACTATTATGTATAACTATAATACACTAAGAAAAGCATTTTTAAAAAAAAATTGTACAGAATGTGTACAGATATTTTCTTGTAATTATTCTCTAAACACTGTATAATTATGTAGCATTCCCCTTGTGTTAAGTATTTTAAGTAATCTAGAGATTATTTAAAGTATACAGGAGGCTGTGCATAAGTTATATGCAAATTCTATTCTATTATATATAAGGAACTTCAGCATCCAACGATTTTGGTATCCTCAGGGGTCCTGAAACCAATCCTCCACTAATAAAGAAAGATGATTACACTAGCAGTTGGTTTGATATCAAGGCCATTAAAGAATAAACCCCAAAACAATCAGTAGAAGACCTTCAGATGACCTGGACAATTGTAAGTCAACTCTAAAACTATAACATGAAAAGCTCAAAGCATTTAGTTGTCTTCATATACTGAAGTCCACATGTAATATATTGGAAATTAACAGGAAGCCAAGAGCCATAACATATTTATCATAACAGTCTTAGAGCAGATAGGCATACTCCACCAGCTAGTATCCAAAGAGCTCTCAAAATACAGATGATCCCTGACCTATGATGGTTCAATTGATTTTTCAGCTTTACTCTGTGCAAAAGCAATATGCGTTCAGTAGAAAATGTACCTGAAATTTTGAATTTTGAGCTTTCCCTGAGTTAGAAATATGCAATAAGATACTTCCTCAAGAGGAAGCAGCTATAAAATACAGTGTACTGTGTTGCTGAGCTATACTTTTGGAAAAGGGGTGTATTAAATGCATTTTCAAGTTATGATATTTTCAACTCTAAGTTAATTGGGATGTAACCCCACCATAAGTCCAGGAGCATCTGTAATAGTTTCATGAAATAATGTCTACCTAATACAATTATCAAAATGTTTAAGAGAATTCTAAGAATTCTCTTCTACAAAGATAAGCATTCTTACTTTCTTCTACTAGTATTACCTTTATGAGAATATTTATGTTTTTCTGGTTTACTTAAATTGGCTTGGGCAGATGAAAACGTTTCTCCCTCTTCAGTGTTCTTTTGGGCCTAAACAGATTTAAAAAGTGTCAAGTGTGACAAATATAGGAACATTATTACCACAAAATTCATTGTGAATTAAAGTTTTACTTTTAAATTCAAGGGTCACCTTCCAAACTAGGAAAACACTACAGTAAACTGTCATTTACTTAATTACAACATTTCTACAGCAAATGAAGCATGTTTTCTAACCTCATTTTACAGATAAAATGAAGATAAGGAAACAGATGAAAGATTGTAAAAATACATCTATAAAACATTATTACATTACATAACAACCTGCCAAACTGGAAATGGAAGCCTATGTTTGCTTCTTTTATTTCAACTCTCAAACTGTATTATGCAGTTCAAAACTAAAATGTAAACCAAAATAAAATGAAAACACACTAAAGCTTAAAGAAAAATTAAAAAGCACTTTCTCAAAAGAGAAAAATATCCAATATCTCCACTGCTCCCTCAAAATTTCATTTTATAAATGGGATAATATAGTATTTGTTATAATTTGAATACCTTTATGTATAAGGCTTTCCTTTCTTTCTTTTTGTACCAGGGATTGAGCCCAGGATCACTTAATCACTGAGCCACACCCTCAGTCCTTTTATTTTATTTTTTTATTTTGGAACAGAGTCTCAAATAAGTTACTTAAGACCTCACACTAAGTTGCTGAAGCTAGCTTTGAACTTGCAGTCCCTCTGCCTCAGTCTCCCAAGCCACTGAGATTACAGGTGTGCCCTCTGTGCCTGGCAAACAGTCAGATATTGGTACTGACAATTATACTGATTCATCAGAAATAAAACCAAAATGTGATTGATTAGAAATAAAGCTAATTTATTAAAGATCCAGTGCTTTTAAAAGAAAGAAAGAAAACATCATGAATAGTCCCAGCCACTGAAGAGGTTAAGGCAGGGGGATTGTGAGTTTGAGGTCAACAACGACAACAGCACTGATTCTTACTTAAAAAAAAAAAAAAAGTTTTTGATGCCAAAAATATACTGATTATTTTTTAAGATTGCCCTAATATAGATCTTAAAGTCAGCTTAAAAACAGCAAAATTATGCTTGCTGAAAAGACAGTGATTAAAATTAAAGTTACTAAATTTATGTCCTATCAGCATTATTCCCTGAACAAATACATAAAAGCCCCCTGTAAAGATTCTGGATTTTTGTGTTCTTGCACTCTTCTTTTAGGAAAAACAAATTTTCCAATGAATTTCTCCAAAAACATTTTTATAAATTATAAAAATTTAACTTCTTTCTGGAAAAGTCACTCATGGCTATATCTCCAGAGCCTAGAATATACAAAACACTGATCTATAGTGTATATTCAGAATGCAAACAGCCCATTATAATGCACCTTTTTGGTCTTGGGTTCCTCATCCAACATGGCTAATGTTCTGGCGAACTCTTCATCTTCATGCAATTGCCTCTCCAGCTGTAAAAACAATCAACATACTGAGATGTTTGTGTTCTTTTGTATTTGAAACACTTATATTCATTCAACATTTATTAGGCATTTACTCTGTGCTAAGTGTTTGGAGGTCAAAAGAGAACTCTGTACTGGAGACAGATTTAGGGGTCATCAGCATATAAATAATAATTACAAACACAGGAATGGATGAGATTGCTCATAGTAAAAACAGGAGATATGAGCAAATTAAGTTATTTTAAATATATTAAAGGAGCTTCCCACTAAAGAACTCTTAAGAGCCGGGCATATGCCTTTAATCCCAGTGACTTGGGAGGCTGAGGCAGGAGGATCGTGAATTCAAAGCCAGCCTCAGCAAAAACAAGGCACTAAAGAACTCAATGAGACCCTATCTCTAAATAAAACACAAAAAAGGGCTGGGGATGTGGCTCAGTGGTCAAGTGCCCTTGAATTCAATCCCCAGTACTTCTCCAGCCAAAAAAAAAAAAAATTCTAAGGGTAAATCTTAAAGTAAAATTATCCCTTGGTCTCATAGATATTTAGAGTTTATAGATATTTAGAGTTTTATATGTTAGATTTTAACTTACTTTACACATAATCTCCAATAAAGCTCAATTCAAAACTAAACTAGAACTATCTTGACTGCTTGCCTAGCTACAGCACATCAAAACATCAAGTTATTAATGATACCTAAGTAAAATGCCAATACCTCTGCATCTTCATCAAGTTGCAATTGCTTGGCGATGACTTCATCGTTTAATATGGAATCATTTGTATTCTGTGAAGGCTGTATTTCAAAGAAAATTAAACAGTATCAGCATAAAACAAGTTAAAAATAAGGTGTTTTTTCTTGACTATAATAGCTGATTAAACACACCAATGAGATAAGTATATCAGTAATAGTTGTAACCCACACCAGCCAAAATGTCAACTTTACTGGCAAATCAACATAAGAATGATCACATTGTCCCATGGAAGCACTAATATGAAATCAACAAACACACACTACTGGGCAGGTTAATTTAACTCAGGAGGCTGCTTTGACTAAGCTATAATTTCTATACAGCCAGAAAAAGATGAATCTAACTCCAGTAGAGAAGGTCAAATATAGCATATTCATAAGGGATGTATTTATGACTTCATTTGGGAACAAATCTATTATCTAATTTTGTCTGGTTGAAGTCACAAGTAAAATGAGTTTGTATTATGAGAAAACAATTTAAATTCTAAGAACTATAACTTTTTCTAATAGTCTTCATACCTTTTTCCTGTTTTGAAGTATAAAGAAAAATTACGTAGTATCTTATTTCTTTGTCCTCTAAAATGAGGGCAACACATTTTATCCTAATCACAGGAAAATTGTCTTCATTAATAAAACATGCTGACCCATTTATAACATCCTAATTTCTCCTCTTATTAACATCAGTACATGGCTATCATCTGAAAATTCTTTCTTGCATGTGGAACACTCACTTGTTTTCTTTTGCTTGCTACCATCTTCTTATCCGATCTTTGGACACTTCCAGTTCCAAAATAATCAAGCACTGAGGTTGGTGTAAGTTTTATTGGTGATAAAGGCTTATTCTTGGTCTTAGTGTTTTCTTCATTCTTTTTCATGTTTGATGTTCCAAGATAACTATTTGTAGATCTTCCATTTTCTTTTGATTTAGAGGCTGCTTTCTTACACATAAAGTCGTCATCTTCATCTTACATGGAATATAACCAAATATTTTTTGATAAATATCAATTTCTAAATTATATAAGGCAACTACTTCTACCAGCTTTAGAAAAAGTACAAAAAAGCTTTGGGATGCTAGTAATTCTTTTTCCTTTCCATCTCCTGAACTCAACAGTCACCCCCCTGCATTTACCACTGCCAGGCCTGTAATACACCAACCCAACTACACAAATATTTACTGAGCACCCATTATATGCCAGGTACTGATGATACAAGAGAGAATTAAAAAAAAAAAAAAAAAAAAAAAAAAACCTGCGCTCATGCAACTTCAAGTCTACAAGCGAAAACAGATAACAAATATGTACTGTTGAGTTATATGTGCTATGAAGAAGAAACAGAAGTGGGGTGTAGATCAATGGTAGAGTACTTATCTAGCACATGTGAAGCCCTGGGTTCACTCCCCACCAATGAAAAACATTTTAAATTAAAAAAAAAGAAAAGTGATGAAGGATGCTCTTTTAGAGAGTAATCGGGGAAAGTCTCTCTGATAAGTGAACTTTCACAGAACCCTAAAATACAGATACGACCAGCAAGAAGGCTCAGACAACGAAAACTACAAGTGCAAAAGCTTAAAGTAAGTGTGCTTTGAGGTCAATGTGGCCGCAGCACAATAAGAGGGTATGTGCTGCAAGAATCCAGGTGAAAGAGAGAGAAGTCAAATCCTGCAGGACTTTCTAGGTCACACAAAGAATTTCAGATTTTACTATAAAATGAGAATCAACTCTAAGCAGAGAATTCCAACTTAAGTCACATCCTTTGGAGAAGACACTGTACAAGGTTGAAAGGAAAGCAAGGAGATAACTTAGGAAGCTATGGTAGCTCCAGACAAGATGCTGTGTACAGTGGGTTTGCAGACATGGTAAGGAATTGTCAAATTCTAGCTATATATTAAAGGTGTACTATCTTATCAATATCTAACCATTCATTTAAGACTTTAAAATTTTGCTATATTTTATATTTTTTAAAAAATTCCCATTAAAAATTGGTCTTAAATGTCTTTTTAGGACTGGGTATATAGCTCAGTGATCAAGCACTTGCTTAGCATGTACAAGGCCATGGGTTCCATCCCTAGCACAACAAAAGAATTTCTATATATTCATAAGGCTTAGATAGCTAGAAACCCTAAAAATGTACTTCAAAGGGGCCTCAACAAATTTTTATTTGGTTCAGTGACTCACAAAAGAAAAGGCTTTTCAATTTGGTCTATTAACAAAAGAAATTTTTTTAAAAAATCTAAAAGATGACCATGAAGATTAGGTCGAGGGAACAGGAAGGTTTCCTTTATAAACTCAGTATGCAAAACCACATGAGTGGGTCTTACTTCCTCTCAAGGACTCACTCATTTGACTACCAATATTTGTTAAGGCCATATGATCCAGGAGTTGGGCTATTCCTAATTGGTTCCCACCAAAAAATAAAAGTAATCAATGCTATGTTAAAAGGCAAGAGGGGAGGAGATTTAGCCTTACTTTCTATAAATATATTAAATTGAAATTATAAACTTTACAACATGTAACTTAGAGGTTCCTGGTTACAAATATAGCAAGTAATCCACTATTTAAAGCAAGAGAAGGGATCTCTGAGGATGCCCATACCATTCACTATAGGCTCATTTTCTCTACTAACTGACGGCTCATCCAACCCTTCAAGGGCCTCCAATGAGCACAGATATGTTTATTAGATGGCTTCACATTCTTGGCTATGACCAACGAGGCCAGCCGTGGGCACCTGATCAAGTGGGGCCCATGATCAGTCGGGTTTATTCCTGCACTCCGCGAAACAGGTTAAAGGCCTCCTAACAAATTCCCCATCTTGTTTACTCCAAGCTAGTTTATTTTTATTTTTTTTAACTTACCTGAAACAGAACAATTCTAATTAAAGCACACTTGCTTAACTTTAGTGAAGTCAAACTACCTTTGAGCTTAAAAATTTATCCATAAACCTTTCTAAAGCACATCCAGGGCTTGATATACTTAAATTTCAGTTCAACCATGTTAACAAGAGTCAGCAGACAAGTTAGTCACTCATTCATCTATTCTCTCATTCTCTGCCTATTTGCCAGGTAAAGGAAAGGGGTCTGATTCACAGAGGTTTAGAAAAGCTGGGCAATATTATCACCATTCCACTTAAGTAAATAGCCTCGTGAATCACCCATAGTAAGTCTGATAACCACCGAGAATATAATCTAAAATACCTTTCGTTTTCTCTAAAATAACAATGAATTATTATAAAAATTCAAATATTTTATGATTGAGAGCTATTTTACATGCACACCTTCACTCAGTTAAGCTAGAGCATAACCAATCAGTAGCACAAAACAACGTATTACTCTCTACAGTCACATGTCACTTAATAACAGAAATATTTTCTGGGAAAAGCATCATTAGTTGATTGCACTGGTTGTGCAAACATCATAGGGTATCCTTATACAAACCTACATTATACAGCCTACTACACACGTAGTCATATGGTACATATATATGGTATAGCCATGATGAATAAAACATACAAGATTAAATAAAACATAAGATAAAATGATACAGTAAAAGACATGCTAAACAGGATGCTGCTATTGAAACATGTGATAGTAAACTTTAATTTTTGAAAGTGGAACGAGTACATTCTAAACAATAAAAATATACTAAATATATAAACCAGCAACACAGGTATTTATTAAAGTATATTCTGTACTATACATATTGTATGTGCTATAGTTCTGTATGACTTTGCAGTGCTTTAGGTTTCTTTACAGCGCCATCACCACAAACATGGACAACACAGTACACCATGACCTTAAATCAGGTGCAATGTCACCAGGTAATAAGAATTTTTCAGCTCCATTATAATCTATGGGGCCCCTGTTGTATATGCTCTTTATCATTGAAACATTCTGTTATGCGGTATGTGACTATATCCTACTTAGCAAGCCAAAAAAATATGCAAAATAGCCTTAAAAATTTAAACCAAGAAGAGCATCGCTTATATCCTGGCTTTAATAAAGAAAGGAAGAAAAAAAGGGCAGGAGGAAAAAGGAGGGGAGTGGGAGGAAAAATAAAAGGGGAAAAGAGCAGGGGAAGGCAGACTAGAACCTTCCAAGTACAGAAAATCAAAACATCACCTTAAGCAATACCTGCAAAATTAAAAGCATAACCAGTGTATGTAAGATAAGACTTCTAATCTTATCTTAAGTTTAATTATGTTTATATGCTTCATGCATGCTAGGCAAGCACTCTACCACTGAGCCACATCCTCAGCTCATATTTATTTGCTTTAAGTTCAACAACCACAGGAGGGAGGGGGGAGGCAGGAGGGAGTCCCTTAATGGAGAAGAAACAAAAATTAAATTGTCTATGAAATGACAGTGGCTATTCTAGCTTTACACCCACATTAAATACGCCAAGAACAGCTGGGCACAGTGGCACACACCTATAATCCCAGCTATTTGGGAGACTGAGGCAGTAGGATCGCATGTTCTAAACCAGCCTCAGCAATTTAGCAAGACCCTGTCTCAAAATAAAATTTTTAGAAAGGCTGGGGATATAGCCCAGTGGTAGAGTGCTCCTGAGTTCAATCTCCAGTACCACCAAAAAAATAAAACCCAAAACACTAACATTCCATTTCAACTACACTTCAACTTGCTCATAAGTAGTATGACAGAAAACACCAGAATTGAGTGGGTAAGGTCAACTACTATGGGAACAGACTATGGGCAAGAAAAGATGAAGAAATTAGGGGACTAATATAAGATAGGCAAGCAAAATGGCCTCACCATAATAATGGCAGTAGAGATTGAGAGAGGAATGAGTATTGTTTATAATATTGGAAAACAAATAGCCTAAATATCTATTCAAAAGTTCAACCATGTGATGGAATTCTATGCAGCAATAAAATATCTTAATGTAGATCCATATTTATTGATATAAAGATATCCATGGGGCTGGGGTTGTGGCTCAGTGGTAGAGTGCTTGCCTTGCATATGGTGAGGAACTTCGTTTATACTCAGTACCACATGAAAATAAAACAAAATAAAGGTATTGTGTCCATCCACAATTTTAAAAATATTTTTAAAAAAGATATCCATGTCAGGGCTGAGGATGTAACCTAGTGGTTAAAGTGCTCACCTAACATGAGTGAGCCCTGGCTTCAAACTCCCGGCACTGGGAGGGGGGGAAAAAAACTTCTCTATAATTTTGTGACTCTGAATAACCATATAAACTTTGGTTATTAAATTAGTATGTAAATTAGTATGTAATTAGTAAATTAGTATGACTTCTAGAAAGTAACTTGGAAGAACATATCTTTAACCTTAAATTAATTCATATCCTTTAGTGTAGTATTCTTGGAGATATTAGAAGTGTGGAAAAATATATATTACAAATATATTCATCAGGGATGCGAATGTAGCCCAAGGGTAGAGCACTTGCCTAGCATGCACAAGCCCTGGGTTTGATCCCCAGGCACACTATTAGGAACGTGAACAGTGTAGGCAATCAAAATAATCAAAACTGGGGAAAGGTTTAAATAAATTGTGGTCTAACCAGTCAATGGATTCATGCAGCTGTTAAAGATCAAGCCAAAATTTCAAGGTTCAAAAAACTGATGACAACAGTTTTTTTAAAAAAAAAAAAAAAGCAGAATGCATCAGTTCTTTTACATTAGTCCTAACATTCTAGGTCTTACACCAGTTTAAAAGGAGGGCTTCTTCATGAGCCTCCCCTGCTAGTAACCTTTACAAGATTGAAAAGCAAAGAGCTACTCTCTGAATACATGGGTTTAAACTTAACAAATGTCTTCAAGCTACAGGTCCCAAAAAATGTACTATTCCTAACACAGACACAGTTTTATAAACATTTTCATAATTTTTCAATAAGAAAGTAAATCACACATGGATCTCCAAGAAAAAATCATGGAAGTGAAATTTCAAGTATATTTTCACTATATTAAGCAAAAATTACATACAAGTCCCAC